AAGCCCTCCCAATATATTTTTTCATCGCACTAAGGACAGTAGAAGTTTGTATTGTGTATAAAGGAAACATTCGTGCTTTTAAATCCTTTCATTTTATATGTATAGATGGCGCGTTATTGCCTTGTGTTAATATTGGTATTTATTCCGACATATAAATTCTGATCAGCAGCTCGCAGTTGCAATATCAGTGGATGTTTTTTTTCTTAATTTATCAACTATATCTCAAATATATATATATACGGAGTTCCATATTTGAAAAGCTGTACGACTTCCATCGTAGTAAAAAACGTATAGTAACATCACATATGAATGATATGTCTATGAAAGATAGACACTTCGGCCAGTTAAAGTTTTATTTTCTCAACGTTTCAACAAAATTCTTTTGTTCTCGTCAGAAGAAATAAATAAATCATTTGTCAAGACGTTACAGAAATTTGAATGCCGGCCAGGCTCTCTTAAAGATACAATAGAACAATCTATTCAAAAGGATAGAGTGCAAATTTAAACTTTCATTCCCTATAGTCACTTTAAATATCTGAATAATTCAATAATAACTGAAACATACCTAAATACTACGCTGACGCTGAAAATTAAACGTCTCATAGCACAACTTAGAGTTTTCTCGATATATGAATTCAAATATATTCGAAATCTCGCAAAAGGTTCGATATCAGTTATAAAATATAAATATTATATATTGTGCGAATGGTGTCGCTGGAGACCCGCTGGTGATTCTCCACCAAACTCTGCAGCGATGGCAGAGGCGCCATGTACATTTTATGTTCATTTTTATATTTTTAAATTACAAATTTTATAATACAATATAATGCGGCTTATAATTGCAGAACGACATTTGAATATTATCCCGCATATGTTTCTTTTGAACGAAAAGTCGAAATTTGTTTTAAGGAGAAATAACGATTATTTCTAACATAAGGGATGAAGTACGAAAGGATGAATTATGAAGAGTAATGATGAACAGAAAAATAAAGTGTCCAGGGATGGGAATAGAACCCACAGTATTCCGCTTACCGGGCAGATGCCATGTGTGTGAATTAATAGCACAGATTTTGCACTCTTCCATACACAATTATACTTAAATACTTGTATTAACAGGTTGTTAATAAAATTAAGTTAATTGTAAATTGTGTCTATAAAAATTAATATATTTTACAAGTGCAAAATTACTTATCCAATGCGTTGCAAATTTGCCCTTTCTCTCGCAAGCAGCGCCTCTAGCGGTGAAGATGGGTGGTAATATCAGCTGACCTAATGTACATGTTAAACGTGTATCAACAGGATATAGAAAAAAATGGAAGATATATTTGTCACATTTTTAGCCAAGAAAATTTGAAATTGACAGGTTTTGGGCATAAATAGTTGTTTTTTTAGTCAGAAAATGATTATGACAATATTGCTGTATTATATTTGATTATCAGATACAAAATTATTTCGGGAAAAATTCCAAAAAGCAGAGACCACGGGTGAAGCCAGTTCATTTTCAGTATGTAGGAGCAAATTTCTAACAGAAAAACATTCATTCGAGCAGAAGACACAAAGCCAGATCATCTCTTTTTAAAAATATCGCTTCTCAGACACAAAGTTTGGAGCGGGACGTTTCACAAGAATGACATCCACGGCCTAATTTATAATTGTAACGAATAGTATTTGAATAAAAACATTTAATTGGGTAAAACCCGGGCGTTGCACGGGTCATTCGGCTAGTCCAAAATATAATAAAAGGAATATCCTATATTAATATTTTTTTTCAGAATGATTGAATTTGTTATAATCTTTATTTGACACATATATTTAAACTATGAAATCAGATCATTTATTTATTTTATTTGTATCTTTGCGGAAATAAGTGGAATAAATATGGTATCTCAAGGGTTTGCCATTTATGTGGCGTGTTTGTGTTTTATCCAAGTTATGTTTACTGACCAAACAGAGGGTTACCTTACGACCGCTGGGAATTGGCTGCTATAGAACAACCAACTCCACTTGCTCTAATTCTATCAAATATATTAAATGGTATTTATGTCAACAAACATTTGAATAGAAACTACGGGGGGAAATATATATTCTAGCTGTAATATTTTCTAATTTTATATTCTAAAGGATATTTTATCTATAATGTTAACGTTTTATATTCATTCTTATTTGCATATTTACATATTTAAGATCAATACGCGATATCAATGTAGATTTGTTTATCTGGAAATGATTAATCTATTTATTGGTAGCAAGGTATCATGAAATTTGATCTTATGTTTAATTAGGAAATAAAAACACTCGTTTATCTATTATATATTATTTAAATATCTAAATATGAAATTATCTATTTGATATATGCCTTATATAAACACTATCTGATTAGAATTGAATATGTCTGTGTGTATATATGAAGGCACAATTCACAGATAAAATGCAAATAGGTATAAAATGCTGATGTAATATTAATAACTATTGTTACCACTACATTATAAATATTGTCGCGGAGATATATATATATATATATATATATATAAATAAAGCAAGGGAAAGTTTGGGGATAATTAATTTATTATAAGGGGTATTTATAGGGAGAGAGAGATAGTACAACTTACCCCAAGTTAAAGATAATCCTAATGAGCGACGTCAGCTCCCCCCGCCGACCAGATTCCGAGAACCCCTCACACCCGTGGCCCCCACCCCGGAGTCCAGGGATGATTGACAGGGGTACCATGGGGCCTCTCGTGGTTGGAGCCGCTGAGCCGCTTGACAATATTAAAGTTAATGTGTTATTGTAAATAAGACATTGGTTCTTGCAGTGATGGAAAAACATGGCTTGAAGTATCAGTGTTAAACGCTCTTTTAGCAGTTTGGTCAAGAGATTTCATTACAGTAAGTGTAGGTGCAAATGCAAAGATAAGAAACATGCTAGTCATGATGGGATTCTAATTTATCAGTAAGAAGGTTTCATCATCAGCAGAGGGTAGTGATGTTAAACGTGGGGGATCTAGAAGAACCAAAGTCTTTAGCTGAATATAATCGATACTTTGAATACTCAATGAGTGTATATGTTGGACAGGTTTCCAAAGTTGCTTGTATAAATACCTATATCATTATAATGAACCTTTATTTGATGTTTCTGTTCATGTGAACTTATAAATATAATTGAAAATTAGGTAAATATATATTAACTAGACGAATGGCCCGGGCAACGCCCGGGTTTTACCCGAGTGCGTATATATTTTAGTAATGTTTTAATTAAAATACTATTCGTTACAATTATAAATTGGCGCCGTGGATGTCTCTCTTGTGAAACGTCCCGCCCCAAACTGTGTGTGTCTTGAAAATATAAAATTAGAAATGTGGATTTTCATAAAGATATCATCATGTCTATTTTTATTTTTGCATTTCACCTACTAAATCGATAGAGATAATTACATTTGCAACATGAACCTAGGTATATTGACTAAATAGAAAACTGCATAGTAATAAAGATAATATTGTAAAGGCACCATATCGTTTTATTTTCAATAAAATCGAAACAAATAAATATATCACAAAAATATGACCCTATAACTTTCCGCAAGGTTCTAAATGGTCACACGGCCAGTGTGAGTGTTTTTGTTGCATCATGCTGTGACTCACACGATGACCCAAGGTCATTCAGGGGTGGAGCAAAGCCTATTTCCGTCGTCGCAATGGTGGCGCTGCATGCGAGTTAAGTCTACATATCTGCAAATAACTCTAAGGAAATTCAAGATATTCAAGAAATTATTTTTCGGACACCTTTCCGGGGATATACCTAATAATATCCCAGAATTTCATGGCGATTGGATGTATGGTTTTTGAATAACAGGGTTGTCTAGAGGGGGGCAGGGAGGCCACGTGTTCGCTGGCGGCCAATGGGCGCGCATTCTATCCGTGAGCTTCAGACAAACAGACAAACAGACAAACAAACAGACAGAATAAGGCAAATATATAAGTAGATTAACAAAAACATTTATTTGAGACAAGCGCTATGCCCTCTCAGGGACACTTGAACTTTAAAGATGAACTAAACATCAGAATAAAAGAAAGAAAAATATTTAATGTATGTACAAGAATTAGTATGCAAGTTAGTTAGATGAAAAGAAAAAAAATCAATGCAATTGAAATAGATACAAAGGGGTTGGTATGCATATTTAGTTAAATGAAATCAAATTATGAAGTATTGTGTGTATTCGAGGAAAAATTTACAGATTGAAGTAAGATAATAAAAATGTTTATATTGGATTTAATAAAATATTTATTTGCCAATATTTCGGTTAGCTGAACGCCAAACCTTTATCAAGGCATTACATTTTTGTATACACAAACTCAGCGCAGCATTTACGTATACAAAAATGTAATGCCTTGATAAAGGTTTGGGGCAGCCAACCGAAATATTGGCATATTAATATTTTATTAAATTCAATATATGCCTTTTTAGTATCTAATGAATTAAATATGGATTGCTCTATTTGCAAAAAGATTGAAGTAAGTTTTAAGGAATATTTTAAAATGAAAATAACGAAGATATTAGGGAACGTTGATGAGACACGTTGATGTTAGATTGCACATATGGTCAATAAGAGAGAATCTATATATTCTAATGTTGACGTAACAAAAGCGTTTATTTAAGAAGGACCTTTTCATTGTGAATTCTATTAATATTCGAGTTCTAGATATCGCCTCGAAATATGGATTTAAAATTGATTGGTTAAATGTATCTATTATCATATTTTATCTTTTATTTTTTGCTTAGAATACGTAATTGCAGATTATTGAATAAGCCATGTCTCTAGTCTTGGTATTTTAAAACCTAAGTTATCTATTGTAGAACGACATTTGTAAATTATCCCGCATGTGTTTCTTTTGAACGAAAATTCTAAATATATTTTAAGGTGAAATAACGATTATTTCTAACCTTAATGATGAAGTATGAAAATATGAATTGTGAAGAGTAATGATAAACCGGAAAATAAAGTGTCCAAGGATGGGAATCGAACCCACAGTGTTCCGCCTATCGGGCTGTCATTTTCACTAGGCTACCCTGGACATATTTTTCCGTTTTTAAATATTATTTAAAGTAATTTAAAATACAATATAATGTGGCTTATGATCCCTTCATATCCCTTCATACTTCATCCTTAAGGTTAGAAATAATCGTTATTTCGCCTTAAAATAAATTTCGATTTTTCTTTCAAAAGAAACACATGCGGGATAATTTTCAAATGTCGTTCTACAATCATAAGCCGCAATATATTGTATTATAAGTTATCTATATTGCATGGTATTGAGCTTAGTCTTATACATGATGAAGCAACTGCTATAATTCAGACCGATACTGTTTAAAAAGTATTACTGGTGGTGATCTCGTGGCTCTTTCCATTATATGAATTTGATCGCTATGCGCAAAGGGGGACACTTGCTTATGTGCCATAAAATTCCTTATGTATAACAAACTATAATATTACGAATAGAGACATTAAAACGCGAATGTTTGTTGTACATATTTTAATTATTTGTTACCACAGAGTGTGTGTAAGCTCACGGGTAAATAGGCGCTAAAAAACAAGAAGAAAGAGTTCCTTTGTTTTCAATATAAGTTTCCTTTTTTTATATTTTGTTACCTCTCTTGTTAATCAATAAATATAATGTTTAATTAATAATTATTGGAATCAGTTTCATTAATAATTCTAAGCAAAGTCAACAATTGGTAGCAGAGCGTGGTTTATTGATATAAAGCTCAAATACGAAAATATTCAATCTGAAGATTAAGCAAGAAGTTTATTCTGATCGGTAAACTGAAGCACTTATAAGAAGATTAAAGGTATTTATATAGATTAAGTTAAATTATATCTATATATTGCATGTTTAAAAGCTACCCAATATTTAAATAAATTTAAAATATATATTTGTTTTAATTTATATATTGGTTTGTTTATATTAGCTCAAAAGACGAAAATGGCTGAATATAATGTTTTATCCCAAACAAAAATTGAACCATTAACAGGAAATAATTATCAAATATGGGCGTTGAAAATCGGCGCAGTTCTGAGAGGAAGAAAATTATTTAAATGTGTAATTTCAGATCCAGAACCTGATATGGAAGACAAAAGTTCTTGGGAGATTTGGAGTGATAAAAATGATGAAGCTTTTGGGATAATCATCACTACTTTGACAAATGAACAAGCTGGAATGTTCATAGGAGAAACAAATGCTAAGAAAGTATGGGACTCACTGAGAAAAACATACACAGGCAATTTGGAAGATAAAATTATTGATATAGGCTTAGAATTAAAGAACATTAGAATGAAAGATAATGAGACTGTAGATGAATATATAACAAGGGCAAAAAATATTGCTGCTAGAAGTTCATCATTAGGGCATCAATTTCCCTCAAGAGAACTTTCATTTCATATTGTCAGAGGCATACATCCAAGGTATGAAAATATTGCTATTGTCTTACGATCAAAGAGAGAGGCAACAATTGAAGAGATTCAACAAACTCTAAGAGAAGAGGAGTCAAGAAGAAATATGAGATTAAATCAATCGGTTGAGAATGGGCATGAACAAGCATACAGAATTAAAGATAGAAAAGTTCAAAAATCTCAGCCCAAAAGATGTTTTGTTTGTAATAAAAAGGGACATCTAGCTAATGATTGCTGGTTTCGAGATAAACAGAAACAAGGATACCAAAAGAAATGGAATCCTGGTTATAGAAATCACAAATACAGTAGGGAACATTCAAATAACCTAGTGGATACTATGAAAAGTGGAATTAATGAGCAAGCATTTGAAACATATGTAAAAGAATTTGAAGATTCACCAGATGAGAGAAATGATAGACAAATATGGTGTATAGATTCAGGATGCACCGCACATTTAACCCCAAACCTAACTTTGATGGAAAATGTGGTAGATTATGAAATTGAAATCAACCTAGCTGAAAAGGGCAAAACTACCCAAGCCATAGCCAAAGGAGATATGAGACTTACTACATGCACAAGTGAAGGCCAAGAAAATATTCGCATCAAAGATATCTTACATGTACCAAGTTTAAGGAATAATTTCTTGTCAGTATACGAATTAGTCAACAAGGGAAATTCAGTTATTTTCAATAAGGATGGAGCAAAAATTTATAATGAAGGGAATGATTTAGTTGCTGAAGCATATATTAAAGATAGAATGTTTATGATGGAAACAAAACAAAGAAATGTACCAATAGCAAAAAATGAAAATGTCATGGTTATAAATACACATTTATCAAATAAAAATAGCAATATAAGTTTATGGCATAAGAGATTAAACCATATAAATGAAGAATACATGAAAAAAATGATTCAAGGACATATTGTAAGAGGATTGGATCTAAAATTCGAAAGGTTACCAGAGTGCGAAGCATGCATAATGGGAAAACTGGTGCAGAAGCCATATAATATTACAGAAAATTATACAGTTAAGCCCCTGCAGTTGATTCATATGGATTTATGTGGACCAATGCCATGTCAATCTTTAGGAGGATCTAAGTATTTCCTTGTTATAGTAGATGATTACAGTAGAAGAATCTTTGTATATTTCCTGAGATCAAAAGATGAGACCTTTGAAAGATTTGAAGAATTTAAAGCAAGAGCCGAAAACGAATTAAGTCTTAGAATAAAAGATGTAAGAACGGACATTGGAACTGAATTTTGTAACTCTAGATTTGAAGGACTTTTCAAGAGAAGTGGGATCCATCACCAACTCACCACAACATACTCACCACAAAGTAATGGAGTCGCAGAGAGAGTGAATAGGACTCTTATAGATACAGCGAGAACCTTACTAATTGACTCAAAATTACCCATGAAGTTTTGGGCAGAGGCAATTGCTACAGCTACATACATTAAGAATTGCACACCCCACAGGTCTATCAAGCAAAATACCCCTATGCAGAGATGGAATGGCAGGAAACCATCGGTCAAACACATTCGAATATTTGGATGTTTGACACATTGGCTTGAGAGCAAACCAAGAAGAAACAAGTTTTCACCAAAGGGTAGAAAGGGAATATTTATTGGTTATTCCATTAAAAGAAAAGCCTACAGAATATATGATATAATGACAAAGAGAATCCATGAAGTCAGATCAGTAAAATTTAGTGAAGATAAGAGAGGAATTGATTATGCAAATGATATTCAGGAAGATACTACTTGTGATAATTTGACCTATAAAGGAAATTGTGAAGAAATAGTTGCTGAAGACTTTCTTATCTTGAAAGAAGACAATCCTGTCACAGAGAGTAAAATGAAGTCTCAGGAGGATACTTCAGTAAAACTAGGTGGTGACTGTGAAAATGACTCATCACAAACTGAACCGATACAGGAAAGTTGTGTAAAAGGAGGAAGAAAGAAAGGAGAAACAAAGAGCATCTTAGAAGAACGGCACAAAGCAAGACTTGAAGAACAAGAAAGGAAATTGATTGAAGAAGGAGTTCGACGCTCACAAAGAATAAAGGATAGGAATAATGCAAACTTAATTATGGAAATTGATCATTATATTCCGGAGAACTTTAAAGAAGCAATGGATAGTGGAGAAAGAAATGAATGGCACAAAGCAATGGAAGAAGAGCTCAGTGAGATAGAGAAACATAAAGTATGGACACTAGTACCAAGGGGAAATGGTATGAAAGTCATCAATAGTAAATGGGTCTACAGTACGAAGAAAACACCAACTGACTGCATATATAAACGAAAGGCCAGACTGGTTGCTGTTGGATGCAATCAAAGATATGGTGTGGACTATAAGGAATCTTTTTCACCTGTACTCAAAAAGGAAAGCTTGCGAACAATAGTAGCTCTTGCAACACAACAGAATTTAACCATAAAGACTTATGATGTGAAGACAGCTTATCTCTATGGTGAGTTAAAAGAGACAGTATACATGAGACAACCAGATGGTTTTATACAAAAAGGAGAAGAAAACAAAGTGTGTAAATTGGAAAAAAGCCTGTATGGTCTACCACAATCAGGAAAATGTTGGAACAAAAAGATCAATGAAATTTTATACCAGTTGGGAATGATTAGAACCAAATGTGATCCATGTGTCTATAAACTCCAGAGAGGAGAAGAGTATGCAATACTGGGTCTATATGTAGATGATCTCATCATTGCTGGAACTAGTAAGGAAATTAATGACAACCTAGCCTCAGAAATAGAAAAATATGTTAGTCTAACAGAAAAGAAAGATAGCGAACCATTTATTGGAATTGAAATAAAAAGGGAAGAAGATGGATTTTATCTATCTCAGACTCATTATATTGATACAATTCTTCACAGATTTGGACTGGAAGAATGCAACAGTGTGCAGACACCTGGAGATCAAAATCAAAATTTGGATGAATATTTGGACTCTAAGCCAGTAGATAAAACTGTATACCAGGAAATGATTGGATCACTAATGTACCTCTCTACGGGTACTCGACCGGACATATCCTTCAACGTCAGCAATTTATCACAGTATAGTAATGATCCAAGAGAAATACACTTAACTGGAGTTAAAAGGATTTATAGATATCTGAAGGGAACAAGAGATAACATGTTGGCATATAAGTCAAAAGACAACAATATCACAATAAGTACTGATGCGAGCTGGTGCACAACCCGAGACGCAAAATCCTATTCAGGCTATACAGTCAAACTTGGCAACAACTTAATAAACTGGAGAAGTAGAAAGCAAAATTTAGTAGCCTTGTCTACATGTGAAGCAGAACTTATTTCAATATGTGAAGGCATTTCAGAGGTATTATGGTTAAAGGGATTACTAGAAGAACTTTGTGAAAATTTAACTTTCCCAATTACCTTGAAAAGTGACAGCCAGGCTGCAATAAACTGGATACAATCTGACAAGATTACTTCACGAACAAAGCACATAAACCGAAAGTATTATTTTGTGAAAGAGGAAATTCAAAATGGAATCAAGCTGGAATACACTAAAAGTGAAGACATGGAGGCGGATATACTAACGAAGAGTCTACCTAAGGACAAACTACGGAAATGTGCAGATAGCCTTGGACT